CCATATTTGACTCATTATTATAAAATTCATTATCCAACCTATCTTTTAGTGGATAATATGAATGGATAATTATTATTTTAATCCATTTTCCACCATTATACACTATCAATATGAATATTTAGCTATTATAAATATTTTTATATTACTAATTCCGCATATCATGATCCATAATATTTTATGTGACTACATAGTACTATAATAATAAATCTAGAGGAATTGAGAATTCTATTCATTCCAATACACGAACCATTCCGCATACCATTTCTCCTTCTAACAAAGAAAAACACGGAGATTATTACCTGAAGCTTTGGCATGTGATTTCAATTCGTGAATTATTATGACATGAGGAATGGTTCTTTATACCTGAGGTTATACATAGCGCATATAATAGATGCGCTATGCAATGAATTATTGTGACTGCAAATACTGAGTATAACACATTTATTACATGCGCTATACTTTAACGGGGTAACTGGCCGTTACGGTATAGCGCATGTTTTAGATGCGTTGGCCATTTATTTTTTAATTTTTTCATGGTTTAGATAAAATGTATAAGTTATTTTTCTTTTAGTGGTTAGTCATGCAGATAATAGTACTTATTAGTTGTAATTTTAAATTATGTTTGTTTTCATTATGGCTTATTAATAATATTTATTTTATGTAATTTTATTATCTTTATTGTTGAATATTTTAGTACAATGCCATGACTCATTTCATATTTATATTATTTTATTGAAAACCACCTTATATAGTTCTGTCTTACTAGGATTAAGAAATATTTGGAGTACCAAATTTACGTTTTGTGCTATGAAGACTTTATGAAAAAATAAAAATCGAAAAAACTCGAAAATCCGAAAAAACCAAGATTAAAAAACCCGACTTTTATTGGTTTGGTTTGTATTTAGATTTAATAACTCGATACAATTAGTTTGGTTTGGTAATTAGAAAATTGAAACAAAGCCGACCTATGTACACCCCTAAGGAGTCCGGAACCAAAATATTATAAATTTTGACTCAAGCGACAAAAATAAGTGGAAAAAAGTGTTGAGAACCATATTATGTATAACGCATCTAAAACATGTGTAATACCTTAACGGCCAGTTACCCCGTTAAAGTATAGCGCATGTAATACATGCGTTATACTCAGTATTTATAGTCATAATAATTCACCGCATAGCGCATCTATTATATGCGCTATGTAATTCACGAATTGAAATCACATGCCAAAGCTTCATAAAAATGGCAACATGTATTTTTCCCTACATGTCACGATAGGCAACCACTATGACGTGGTGTTTCACCGCACATGTGTTAGTGATTGGTTATCTCGAAAAAAAGATCTTGTAAGGTCAAATATCATTGAAATATGCTCATAACCTAACAATAAGAATACACTATTAGGGGTGAAAAATAGGTGGGTCGGGTATGTGCGAATTGAACACGGGTAATATAAAAAAAGATAAAATATCCGGCTTACCATATTTAATACGAATAGAAAATGGGTTAACCGATGTATAATATGAATACACATATTATCCATTGCTTCCTGAATGTGATCACTTTTGGAAATTTCTAGTCTCCCAATTTTGAGCAACTATCAATTTGAATCTTTACAAATATAAAATTTAAGCCCATTGATTATCCATGAAGTATATATTTTTAAGTGGATAATATGAAATATTATCCATATTTGACTCATTTTTATAAAATTCATTATCCAACCTATCTTTTAGTGGATAATATGAATGAGTAATTATTATTTTAATCCATTTTGCCACCATTATACACTATCAATATGGATTTTTAGCTATTATAAATATTTTTATATTACTAATTCCGTATATCATGATCCATAATATTTTATTTGAGTTCATAGTACTATAATAATAAATCTAGAGGAATTGAGAATTCTATAAAAGGCAGCTTCCGCAACATGACATTCCAATGCACGATCCATTCCGCATACCATTTCTCCTTCTTACAAAGAAAAACAAGGAGATTATTACCTGAAGCTTTGGCATGTGATTTCAATTCGTGAATTATTATGACATGAGGAATGGTTCTTTATACCTGAGGTTATACATAGCGCATTTAATAGATGCGCTATGCAGTGAATTATTATGACTGTAAACATTGAGTATATCGCATTTATTACATGCGCTATACTTTAACGGGGTAAATGACCGTTACGGTATAGCGCATATTTTAGATGCGTTGACTATCTATTTTTTAGTTTTTCCATGATTTAGATAAAATGTATAAGTTATTTTTCTTTTAGTGGTTAGTCATGAAAATAATAATACTTATTAGTCGTAATTTTAAATTATGTTTTTTTTTATTATGGCTTATTAATAATATTTAGTTTATGCGATTTTATTATCTTTATTATTGAATATTTTAGTACAATGCCATGACACATCTCATATTTATATTATTTTATTGAAAAATACCTTATATAGTTCTGTCTTACTAGGATTAAGAAATATTTGGAGCACAAATTTTACGTTTTGTGCTATGAAGACTTTATGAAAAAAATCCCGAAAAAACTCGAAAATCCGAGAAAAACCGAGATTAAAAAACTCGACTTTTATTGGTTTGATTTTATTTAGATTTAATAACCCGATACAATTAGTTTGGTTTGGTAATTAAAAAATTCAAACCAACTCGACCTATGTGCACCCCTAAGGAGTCCGGAACCAAAATATTGTAAATTTTGACTCAAGCGAAAAAAATAGGTGGAAAAAAGTGTTGAGAACCATATTATGTATAACGCATCTAAAACATGCGCTATACCTTAACCACCAGTTACCCCGTTAAAGTATAGCGCATGTAATACATGCGCTATACTCAGTATTTATAGTCATAATAATTCACTGCATAGCGCATCTATTATATGCGCTATGTAATTCACGAATTGAAATCACATGCCAAAGCTTCATAAAAACGGCAACATGTTTTTTCCCTACATGTCACGATTTGCAACCTCTATGACGTGGTGTTTCACTGCACATGTGCTGTGATTGTTTATCTTGAAAAAAAGATCTTGTAAGGTAAAATATTATTGAAATATGCTCATAACCTATCAGGAAGAATACATTATTAGGGGTGAAAAATGGGTGAGTCGGGTATGTGCGAATTGAACACGGGTAATATAAAAAAAGGTAAAATATTCAGCTTGCCATATTTAATACGAATAGTAAATGGGTTAACCGATGTATAATATGAATACACATATTATCCATTGCTTCCTGAATATGATCACCTTTGAAAATTTCTAGTCTCCCAATTTTGAGAAACTCTCAATTTGAATCTTTAGAAATATAAAATTTAAGCCCATTGATTATCCATGAAGTATATATTTTAAGTGGATAATATTCATATTATCCATATTTGACTTATTTTTATAAAGTTCATTATCTAACCTATCTTTTAGTGGGTAATATGAATGGGTAATTATCATTTTAATCCATTTTGCCACCATTATACACTATTAATATGAATATTTAGCTATTATAAATATTTTTATATTACTAATTCCGCATATCACGATCCATAATATTTTATGTGACTACATAGTACTATAATAATAAATCTAAAGGAATTGAGAATTCTATAAAAGGCAGCCTCCGCAACATGACATTCCAATGCACGAACAATTTCGCATACCATTTCTTCTTCTAACAAAGAAAAACATTGAGATTATTACCTGAAGCTTTGGCATGTGATTTCAATTCGTGAATTATTATGACATGAGGAATGTTTCTTTATACCTGAGGTTATACATAGCGCATATAATAGATGCGCTACGCAATAAATTATTATGACTAAAAATACTGAGTATAACACATTTATTACATGCGTTATACTTTAACGGGGTAACTGGTCATTACAGTATAGCGCATATTTTAGATGCGTTATACATAATATGGTACTCAATATTTTTTTTCACCTATTTTTGTTGCTTGAATCAAAATTTACAATATTTTGGTTCCGGGCTCTATGACAATGGTGGTGGTGGATACAGTGAATGGGGGCTGAAAGTGACGATAGGAATCAATGATGTAGAAAAAATTAAAAGGAAATATCAGAAAATAGAGAAAAGGAAAATAAAAATAAAAATGACGTGGCATCACATGGCTGGTGTGTGTGTTTCACATCTATTTGTGAAACTGGTGCTAGTAAAATAAAGGGGATATTTACACCACAATTGTTTTTTCCTTTTCTCAATTTTTAATTTTTTAGAACCTAGACTATGTCTACTACGAGTTCTAAACGAAAAACTAATAAAAATGGTTCTAAAATAAAAACTAATAAAAAAATAGTTTTATACAATTATACTTCAGAAAGTCATTTTCCTACCCCACACTTATATTATGCATAGTCCTCGATGCATGATCATAGAGAAAAATATTAAACAAGGGTGAGAAATACTCCTTGAGACCCTCTCGGGCCTAGCTCGCATATGATCCTCAATATTAACGGTCGGGACGACCCCACACTTAAGCTCAAATATGCTCCTTAACTTCAACTTCGGGTACTCAGACTTTCCCTACTATGCAAAACAAAAACAACACAAAACTTACACTATAAAAAAAAAAAAAAAAAAAAAAAAAAAAAAAAAAAAAAAAATACAGGCTGGGTTGCCTCCCAACAAACGTCTTATTATAGTCGTGGCACGACTCTTCTACTCTGCCCAGGCTTGGCGCTTTCTCTTCTTTTTTACCATGAAGTCTAGCCTTTTTGCATGTCTTTCATCTTTGGTTCTTTTCTCAATCATCCTTACACACTTGGCTTGCAATACCACCTCCTCTAACTCAATTATCCCATCTGGATCACTACAATTCACATATGGACTCTACTTTATCCCCTTCAATTCTACCACAGTAATCATGCACAAGTCCTCATAATGCTTAGGGAGCTTAAGTGCCTTGTACACATTAAAAGTGATTTCCTCATCGTCAACTTCCCTTCCCTCACATCTATAATCGCTCCACCAATAGCTAAGAATGGTTGCCCAAAATAATGGGCACTTCCTCATCTGCCTCGTAATCAAGAACAATAAAATCAACAGGAAGAATAAACTTTTCCACTCGAACTAACACATCCTCAATAATTCCTTTTGGCATAACTAGTGACCTATCTGCCAACTGTAAAGTGATTGTAGTAAGTCTAAGCACCCCCAATCCGAGTGTTTTGAATAAAGATGATGGCATCAAGTTTATACTAGCCCCTAAATCACACAAGGCTCTACAAACTTCTTGTTTTCCAAGAGACAGAGGAATTGTGAAACTCCCAGGATCCTTCAACTTAGGAGGAAGTTTACTCTGAACTCTAGCACTGCACTCTTCAGTAAGTGTAACTGTTTCAAACTCTGTATGTATTCGCTTGTTTGCCACAATATCTCTGAGATACCTTGCATACTTAGGCAATTTCTGCAAAATTTCTACCAAAGGCAAATTCACAGGCACTTGGCTAAAAATATCTAAGAATTTCTTGTACTTAGCACCATCTTTTTGCTTCTGCAGTCTTTGTGGAAACGGAGGTGGTGACATTGTCATAATTACTGGCTCTGATCCTTCGCTCTCTTTCTCATTCTCCTCAACTGGCTTGGGAACTAATTCTCCTTCAGGACTAGATGTATACTTCTTTTTATTTGGAACTTCTTCTAATACTCTTCCATTTCTCAAGATAACCACATTAACTTGAGCTTTAGGATTAGGCTCAGTATCACTAGGAAGAGCCCCAACTGGTCGAGTATTTTGAGCACTAGCAAGTTACTCCATTTGTCTCTCCAAATTTTGAATCGCTGCAACGTGGGCTGCTGCTTGAGCTTGCTGGTTAGCCATTAATTTCTTCATCATCTCCTCAAGGTGACTCGTCGGGTTTGTAGGTTGTTCAGCCTGAGGTGGTCTATATTTTTGTTGAGGCGCTTGTGGCCTGTACTGATTCTAAGCACCTTGGTTTCCACCCCAAGAGAAGTTTTGGTTGTTCCTCTAGTTAGGATTATAAGTGTTCCCGTACTGGTTTGTCTGGCCCTATTTGCATTATCCATAAAATATATATACTCTAGATTAACTGGGCATAAGTTGCTCGTGTGACCCTCTCCATATACTTCACAAAATATTTGAACCCGTTGCACTGGCTGAACTTGTTGCTTGTTAATTACCAAGGTCATCTGATTGACTTGGTTGGCCAGTGTGGCAATCTGTGCTGATAATGCAGAGATGACATCTAACTCGAGAACCCCTCCAGATTTTTGCACTGTGTGTCTGCCCATCTCTCCTTGCCAATCCGGATTGCTTTTGGAGAATTTGTTCAATAATGCATATACCTCATCAAATCTTTTCTCCAACACTTGACCTCCCACTGCAGCATCTACCACAATCTTTGTCTCAGGATGTAGCGCGCCTATAAAAGTGTGAGCTAACACTTCATTTTTAATATTGTGATGAGGACAGTCTCTGATCAGTCCCTCGAACCTTTCCCAAGCTGAGTATAAAGATTCCCTCGATTTCCCAAGCAGTTTTTCCTAAAGGAAAGAACCTTGCCAAAAATTTCCTCACCAGATCATTCAATGATGTAATAGAATTAGCTGGTTCTGCCTTCAACCATCGCTTTGCTTCATCCAACAGATAGAATGGGAATAGTGTGAGCCTCACATAGTCTGGAGTGACTTCGTTAGTGATATAGTATCACTAATCTCCAAGATGTTCAGGATGTGCTGTTGTGGATCCTCGTGTGGAAGACCCATAAACTGCTCATTCACATGTAGTAGCTGGATCATGCTCTGTTTCAGCTCAAAGTGCCCAGTGATTCTAGGCTTCACAATGCTGGAGGTGACACTAGCAATGCTGGGCATCGCCATCTCCTGAACAACCATATGTTGCTCCTCTGCCATGTCCACAGGAAATTGAACAAGTGCCTAAAGATTATTTATGGCCCTTGCTTCCCTCAGCCTCCCGTGAAATGTTCTCTTAGGTTCGGGGTCAAAGCCTTGAAGTCTATCCTGGCTTCTGACCCTTCGCATTTAATGAAAGTTCCTAAGAGCAGAGAAACCAATAAGAAATGTTAGACTTGATGCAATAAATAATTAAATCAAAAACTAGAAATTAGTCAATATTCAAGTCCCCGGCAACAACGCCAAAAATTTGTTGCTCCCATATGCACACGCAAGTATATGTGGTCGTACAAGTAATAAAATAATAAGTCGAGTGTCGAACCCACAAAGACTTGTGTTAACTACCCACTAGTTTTACTAAGATTATTATTCAGTCAAGTATTTCCGAGTTCAAAAGTGTGATTATACTACGCAATAATTCTAACAAGTAACTAATTTATCAAGCAACAAAATGATTGTTGTGTATTCAGTAGAGACGAGTATTCCAGGGTTGTGATCGATTCACCAATCCTATTGTATTCTAATTAACTCTCCCTTTCATACAATTCACTCATGGTTGCTAATTAATCGAACAATTGCTCTCATAGCCTTCTCCCGAAGTACTACTCGCCTATTTAAAATAGATTAACGCTTATTTTTATGGAATCAATCTATTAAGAATGCATTAAGATTACAATATTTAATTAAGCCCGGTGACTAGGTATATTCCTATCCTAACCACAAATCTGTCCCCCCCAGAGTTAAGATCATTCTCTCTTCAATTCTTCTCTAATCTAAATATGGCTTTCCTAAGCATAGCATAGATAGTAAATAGAACCTAACTGTTGGCCAGACAATTAAGCAATTAATCACAAAATTGAAGAAACAACCATATATTGGTGAATTGTAATCAAGGTTAAGTCAACTTTAAACGATAATATTCATGGCTAAATCACAACCCCAGAATTATGGGTTTAGTCACTCATGATAGTATCAAAACAAATTCACAAGTGTTGAATAATTGAAAATACTAAGAAAAGATGAAGAACACTGAGATATCCTCGCTCCAGGATGTTCCTCATGTGTATTTTTCCTTCAAAGTGGCATCTCCCCCTCAAAATAGGCTTAGTCTTGCTACGTGTTGGGTAGGTCTTGGGCCGAAATAACCTTATCCCGAGCAAAGTTGGAGATGTTTTCCATTACCAACGCCTAGAGTAGCGTGGGGCTCTAGCCCTGGTGCTGGGAAATTAAGCATTCTGGAATGGCGCCACATGTAGCGCCCTACAATGCATGTGGCGCTACAATTGCCAATTTTTCATCTTTGCTTCTTTTTGACTCTAATCTCGTACCTTTCACCCCCAATTTTCTCCGGATGATTCCAACACATAAAAATACCACAAATTAACATAAATCAATACATTTTACATCCAAAATCCACAAAATATAAGTAAAACATGAGGCGATATACATATAAATATATATACTTTATGCTAAATATCAGTTACGTTCATAAATTTACTAAAATTTAGGTCTAATGTCACTGAGATTTTCTCCAAATGTACTTGTAGTTAAGGGGTGATCCACAAACCAAATTGAAGATCTACAGATATGTATATATAAAATAGTGAACAATAATATTTATCGTCTAAAATAGGAAGGAGGAAGGAATGGACTCTCGATATTGGGCCAGTGGTCAGGCCCAAAGAATTCTCGCAATCAGTAGACTCCAAAGAGCAGAGAAAGAAACGACCCAGGTCTAGAAATTGGGCTTGAGATCCAAATGGGCTCATCAAGCCCAATTTGAATCATGCATTCAAAAAGAATAGATGATGATTAGTATATGTCAATATGAAATGGGATCAAATGACATCATGACAAATAATAATAAAGAGCCAAGGAATACATTAAAGTCAATTCTATTTTGTGTTAACCCTATGAGGATTAATAAAAGTTAATGACTAATGGATAATAGTGAACATTTATTTATGGATAAAATCCCCCTTTGGACCCCCTGACACTTCAGAGTTCATAAAGGTCTCAACCCCAAGCAGTGCTTGTGTCAGGCAAGGGTACGTTAACCATAACCCAAGTTCACACCCAAATACCCTTAATCATCCACCCTTACTCTTCCTCAAAGGTTTGGACCCAAATGTAGTGTCCATTAAGTAGTTCCATACAATTAGCAATAGCACAAAGGTTCATGATAAAAACTTCTCAAAAGTTTGACACATAGAGGTAAATAGCTACAGGAGATGTTACACTATCATTAGAGTACAAAGATATGAATAACTCAGAACCAATCACATTATTGGCCTCAAGATTTCTCACCTAAACACTAAGTGCAAAGATAAATCATCGCAAGTGGACTGATAGAGTCCAGTAACATCAGTGACCTTAAGGTTGACTTTGACATGTATCAGAACACTTAGGAGGACCATTATTAAGATACAAAAAGCTAATTGCATATTAGTAAGTGTTATCTATTAGTTAAGGTTCAAATAGGCTTAGTTAAGTGATAAAAACATTAATAGATGACACAGAAAGACATATGCATTAGTTCCATTAGTTCTATGAGGATTTATCATTTAAGGACCCATGAATGGGTTCATAACACTTAGAGTAAGTCAATAGACATATACCCAAGATCCAAGAACCAAACTCAAGGGAAAATCAACTCAACTCATCATCAAAAGTGTTAAAGACTACAAGAGAATGCTTATGTTGTGGTGTGATTGAGGGCTATTGTGAGCTAAGTTGAAATGAGGTTTCGAGTTTTAGATACTGTCCAAGGTATGTATAACATCTTCTTGATTGGGCCTACGGATAATCTTGTGTTGGTTGTGTTGTTTGAGTGAAAAACCATAAGATAGCACTTGGAAGAACATGGGACATTGTTATCTTTTGGTTGGATAGTTTTGAGGCTACATATATGGTTTGTAGTGGCTGAAATTATGAGAAATAGTTTGATAATTTTTTGGATGCTGCTGTTCAGCTTTTTTAGGTGTTAATTAAGTTGATTGAAGAAGAAAACATGAAAAACAAGTGATTGATGATAAAAGTTAAGGTGCTAGGCGTATGGGACGGTTTTGGAAGGCATTTTATGGATGTCTTGAACTAGGAATCATATAGTACATATACGTATGATAATCTAAAGGTTGAAAACTAATTTATGGAATAAGATTTGAATTCAATTTATGTTTTATTATTATTAAAACAAGCTTGCCGCTCAATATGATTGTTAAGATAATCGGAGAAGCTCATATTTGATTATATTGTTGTCGTTGCTATTTTTGGTTAATATTGTTGTTGTTGGGATATTGATGACCCTTAGTGGTGGTTAATGCTGTTGTTGTTGTTGTTGGGATATTGATGACCCTTAGTGGTCTTTGAGATGTAGTAAAAATGGGGGAGTTGCTTCCCGATTTTCCGTAAGCTATGCGACTAGCCAAATACGATGGTATGGCATTATACGTTGACGACAATATCATTTCACTTGTTGTAGATGCAAGAAGTTGTGTTGAGCTTGGTTGAGGAATAAGAACGAGATCACATGGGTATGTTAAGGCATTTGCTTCTTTCTTTTTTCATGATGTAAAGTGAAATGAACGTAAACGATGCGCTATTTCATAGTGGATCTACTCCTTGCAACTGAGCCTATCCATGTTGTTCTTTCCTTATAAAGTTATTCTAAGCATGTATGTATGATGTTTGAATCCTATTGAGGTACATATTGATGGTATGGATGTTCATAACGTTAATCGAAGGTTCAACAACCTTACGTCACTCCGAAAGGTTGAGAATATGATTCCATGAGTCCAACATGCATTATATATATGTACCTATTTTACTCTATAGAGCCGCGCTATAGTCGGCCGGGTATGGCACCTATTGTTCAACCACCGATAAGTTGGGATTTATAAAGATCTATGTGGACGGGTACGATTCAACCGAGCCTTATAATGGCCGGGTACGTTTTTACCGTGCCTATTATGGCCAATTACGATATGATGATGATGATGCCCACAGAGGTGTATGTTTTTGAAAGTATATATATATATATATATATATATCATGCATTTCATGTCAGTCACCCTCAGAGGCACTCAGATATTGCTAGTTATATCTTCTCTATCTCTCTTTGCATTACTATTATTATTTACGCTTTCCTACCTTACATACTCAGTACCTTTTTCATACCGACATCCCTTTTGCCTGGGGACACTGCGTTTCATGCCCGCAGGTTCCGATAGACTGGTTGACGGTCCTCCTAGTAGGCTATCATCTCAATAGAAGGTGTTGGTGCACTCCACCTGCTCTGGAGTTACCTATTTGGTTAGTATGCTTTAGACATGTATTGATTGGTATGACGGGGACCTATCCCGATCTTTGTGACATTTATGTACTCTTAGAGGCTTGTAGACAGATATTATGTATATGGATACTTGTATGGCCTTGTCGGCCTATGTTTTGAGTGTACAAATGATCATGTCGATCTTATAGGCCCGTATGTCACATGTATAAGTTTGTATATCATGTTGGGTTATCCTATGTCGAGTATTCCCTTATGTTTTATTCTGGTTATCTCATGATGGCCCTTCTGGATCATTTGCCCATGATGGTATGATAAGAAAGATATGTTATGTTGGTACTCGTTTGAGTGAGGCACCGAGTGCCCAACGCGGCCCTCCGATTTGGGTCTTGACAAACTTTGTATCAAAGCAGGTATGTCCTAGGGATGTCTACAAGCCGTGTCTAATAGAGTCTTGTTTATGGGTGTGTTGTGTGACACACTTATAAACAGGAGGCTGCGGGACATTTAAGCTGGTTACTTTTCCTTCATGTTCTAGATCGTGCGAAAAAGCTGAGTTGTAGGGAATCGAGTCTAACATATGCGTTGATATAGGTTGTACAAAGATGTCATTACCCAGAAGAGTTGCAACTAGTCAGGATTTTAAAGAAGGATTGGGAGGGGGTGTGAGACGTACGGCTTCTACTGAAACAGATCCGTCTCAGGACTAGGG